CTTTTTTTGGGGGCCGAGGTGGGATCGGGGGGCAGTCCCCACTCGTTGAGAGCAGCTAGCTTCAGGGGAGGAGGCGGGCAGCTTCGACCGGAGAAGCCTGAGCGGCCAGAGCTGGCTTGCCAGGCTGCCTCGGCAAGCCGGGCGGGACCAGCGAGGACGAGCAGAGCGCACGGGCCTGGGAGGGCTCACCGACGCCGAGCGCCCCCTGCGGCATTGGCAACACCTCTGCCGCCGCGCGTGCATGTCCCCCCGGCTTGTCTCATCGGCGTGGCGTGCCAAATTGATGCCGCGCGGGGGGTTTCTGGTTGGGTTGCGTAGGCTGCTTCGGTCTTTGTTCTTCTTCATTATCTCGACGGCAGCCGCCAAGATGCGGGCGCTCCGTGCCTCAGTCGTTTTCTTTTGTTTTCTCTTAGGTTTCTACTCTGTGCCTGTGGCTGCGTTGTTATCAAGGAGGGGCCGCCCAAGGGGCGGCCCCGGTTTCTTGTAATAGCTTAATGTTAAAAATCGCAATCATATTTAGACGCTTCTCAGAGAGAGTCGTCGTTGAGGGGTTCTACCCTCGTCGAAGTTTAAGGGACATAAGTAGCTGGAAAAAACTTCATCTAACCTACTTGATAACAATAGACATAGGCTGGAAGATACAATGAAAAGCCTTGTTGAGCAGAAGATCTTGGTCGAAGTGAAGAGACAGCAGGCGCACGCAAACGAAAAAAAGGCCTTATGATGGTCTGACCTCTTTGTAGTCGGTAGAATCTTTTTACTTCAGAGCGAGTGCTGGTTTGTTGCAAGGACTGATCGTTTTACTCGTATCTTAGGTAGGTTAGTGCCTTCATCCAATCTTGGACGACCAGTGCTGATGAAATACACTCCTACGCAAGACTTATTGGCTTTCGCAGATGCTAAAAGTTGGCCTCTGATCGATCTTGAGCCTTGTTATTTTCGTACCTTCTAGTAAGAGTAGCTATATTATTCGATATTATCATCTTTTTATTCGAAGGGTAGTAAGCAAAAGCAGAGTCTTTTTATGCCGTGTGAGTTGTAGCACTGTGATGGAACGCATCAACAACGTAAGGGGTCCGCTCACACCGTGAAGATTACTTACAGAAACAGAATGTTCTTGATCGAAGTTTTTAGCCGGACCTGCTTAGTTTTTTGTCTTATTCTTTCATTACATTCACATCCAACAACTACTAGTCACAATTTGTTCCTCTGTATTTATCGACCTATTCTTTCATACTTGACGGAATGGCTTCGTAGAAAAGTTGCAACAGCTCCTGGAGATGGACCGGCCGTGACAGCTGCGGAGCTGGAGTCGATAGCTGCTGCTGTGATCCAAAACTTGGATGGGACGAGTGGTCTGCAAGTCCTTCAAGCACTAACGGATGCTTAAGGCCGACTTTCCTTGTGTGATTAATATAAGTAAGCATATTAATATAAGTCAGCCAAACTATCGACGACACGGAGATAGAGCTTATGGATGCCGAGGCACTCCAGATATTACGAAATCGTAAGCACGTCATTGAGAAGATTCCAAAATCTCCTCCGATCTACGGGTCGCGGCTGCCGACGCACTACATCCGTGAAAGTGCTCTGATTCTCGATCGAAAGCCGCGCGATACGCTCACGGTCCTTGCGGCAAACGAAGTTGCGTGGGCAGTGTGGCTCGATCGTGTCGCAGATATTGTATGGGTCGCGGTAAAAGACACTGCGCGGGTTTGGCGTCTATCGCGCAAAATCCTACTACGGATGCCGCACGTTGCAAAATATGGCAGGCAGGTTTGGACACTCAGGACGCGCCGACAAATGCACCTGCGAGCTGCTGCAGTAAGCACCCTCATGCATGCCGCGCAGCTCGCGCCATCGACACAAGTTGCAGTATTCAACATAGTGGACAACATTCACAAACGTGCAACGATTAACACTGACCTGTCAATCGCGGCACTTACTGTGACAGCGCACCTTTTTCACTCTGCTGCTCCCAGATGGATGCAAGATCTGCCGAAGACACGAATGCACAGTGGAAATGTCGAGGCCATCACCGTGGAGCCGCAGGACGACATTTGGCTATGGGCGGACGGGCCTCCTCTCAAGATCAAGAAATACTGCGGGCCACTTCCGGCAGCCTTAAAATCGTGCATCGACCAAATGCGAGGCGAAAAAGTCACACCTGCAAAAATTCGGGGACAAATAAAGAGAGTCCTAGATGAGCACGAAAAAGCTGAGGAAGAGAAAGTCGAACAAAGCGCAGGAGGATTATTTCTACCACTACATGAGTAAAATAAAAAGCATGAAATGAATTAAATTACAACATCCATAGACCAAATGACAGATAAAGTTAGACACAACAGAAAAAGTAAGACAACAAGCTCAGACCCACACCAAACTCATTCATTTAACCGAAAGCAAGTAGATTAACAACATAGGAGCAACATACTGAAAGTTGATTATTACAAGTTGCCTCCAATAAGACAAAATGATCCCCACAGCCGTCGATAGTTCTCGGATATTTACCACCTACAAAAAAAAAAGCATGCTAGTGCTACTGCACTAAACACATGCCAGATATCAAATGAGAACAGCGACTCACTGTCTGCGCGCATGATGCAACAGAAAACGCGAGACAACGCTAGAAACCCGAGCCAGCGGCAATGACACGAGACAGCGTCAGGAATCCCGAAGACAACGGCAGAAACACGGGAGAAGTGTTTTGGTTTGCAAGCGTGAGAGAGAGAGTCCAACAGTGATCAGCTGGGCCATGCGTGAAGCTTGCTGATTCAAGGCACTCGATCGCTCGTGAAAATCGAAAGAAACTCCCATAAGAGACGAAAAATAGCCCAACAGTGATCAGGTCAGCTGAGCCATTCATGAAGCTTGCTGATTCAAGGCGAGTGATCGTTCTCGACCAAAAAGATGCCATTGGCGCAACAGCTGTGAAAGCAGCGCTGCCTAGGCTTGTGCCCTAGGTCGCAATGAATGCCCGGACGTGTGTCCTGATATCGATAAATAAGATACCGCTCGCGTCCCGCGTCGAATGCTTCGTCCCCTCGGGAAGACGTTTCATTCAGTAGAGAACTCCTCTAACCAAATTAATATGGTGCCCTTCTTCGGGAGTGAAGTACTGTATTAAATCGTCCCATCGACAGTTTCGAAATACTGCTCAGGGCGAGACTCCATTCATATTAAATTCTGTTGCAACATCCGCACCATGTTGATACAACTGCTGGTAGTGACATATTGAGAGTTGCAGTCAAACGACCTCACTACCATTTTACATGATGGACCATGAGGTAACACGGTATGACATTGCAGTCAAAAAATTCCTTGAAGAACAGACCTAGATGAGCTGGTCGCTCTTGGCTGTACAACTCTTTCTAACATTCGGCGCTGCACATGAAGAGCAAAGGGGATACAGTTGCTGAGGCACAAAAGACGACTGAATTGGTGGAACAGCTATGGGCCTTGCGCCAAGGAGTTTTAGCAGAGCAAGAGTCAGAATCTGCTGCGGAGGGTAAGAGAGGCGATGGCAATGGCGATATCAGCAATGACAATCGTCAACAAGAGTTAAGGAGAGGAGAAGGAAATGTTAAGTCTAAGCAGGCCAAGGAGACAACGGGAGAGAATGAGAAACAGAGTACCTATGATGGTCATATTAGACCCCCTTCTGCTTTGCGCCCATAGATGGCTGAGTCCTCATCTTGCGGGAGAGTAAGTGTGAATAAATATCATCAGCGACCTCTAAGAACGGTATTGGCCACGCTGGGTGAGTTAAAAGAAGGGGAGGAAAAGAGGGAGACGAGAGAGCGCAACCGTGAGGAGGTGAAGCGTTTATCTTATGAGCCCTACTTTTTCCGGACTTTATCCTAGGCTATCCTGCGTAGTTCGAAGGAGGCCAGCTCTTTTTGGCAATCCGTGGCATCTGAAACAAGTCCGATAGTACAGCGTTACCTTACTAGGGAAGTCCGTGTCCTACATTCTGGAGTGGATGTCTTATTCCTTTTTATTGTCAACTGCACTGTGAATGTGAGTGTGGACACAAATATATGGCCTACTTTTTACATACTGTTTAATCATGCAGAATACTTGTTATACCTCACAGTATGTTTTGTAGTACACTCTCTGCCCCGCTCCAAAACGCGGAGGCAGCTGGGAAAAACGGCGATGAATCCGCAATCAAACAGTGGAGAGCCAGGAAAGTTCTGTTCGAAATGGGCGTTTCAGATTACGGCTAAGGAAATAGTCAGCATTTTTTTCTGACGGTGTTATCTATTTCTCGTCTCGCTCTGGTCAACATTTCAGGAAAGCAAGGTGGACGTGCATGTGGTAGGTTGTCAAATACAAGCCTGAGGACGTTTTGGAGGAAATGATGGAAAACCTCTGAGGGGGGGAATTCAGTAAAGTTCTGAGTTAATGAGGGAGCGGGCCAATCATGTCTCATCATCATATGACAAGGCTACTGTCTTTCTTTTTAGCGAAGTCTTTTGTTAAAACAATAGTCTTTTCTAGTTAGCGAATCTTTGACCCAGCATCTCTAAGAAAGGAATAACGAGAAAGAGAAGGAGATATACCAGCAGATCATAAAGAATAGTGGCGGAACTGTTCAAGAGATTGCGGCGAGAGTAGGGGCTTTGCGGGTGATGCAAGGAATGGAGGCAGCTTCAGCCCCGGGTGTTCATGCGGCTGAGGCTACGTTTTTGCTCCAGCAACTCGGAGGAGCAGGCGACTTTTCTGGAGATATTGCAGAGGCAGCGGCGGTCAGATACAAGGAGTTAGCGGCTGGCGTTTACGGCTCGTAATGTGAGTAGTACAACAAATGTTAATAGAAGGTGTCGCCCAATGTTTTACTAATAGCGAAAGGAGAGGTGTTGAAGATTTAATGTTGTACATGTCTTGTGAGTAAAAGTAGTAGAACGTTGCGAGTACTGCGTTATTGGGTGGCCTCACAAGTAGACACGTATAGCTACATAAGAGGCGCCGGGACATGCCATGACGTGAGTCAGAGAGAGTAGAGCACTGTCTGCGCTAGGGCCTCAAGATTGGGCACGAAACGTTCACAAAAGAGCTCTCATGACATGTTGTCATGAAGCTGTCCTTTCCCATTCCCTTCACGACGCTTGATGTCTATAACCAAAGCAAGGCAGGTAATTAGTTAAGCACTTGAAGGCATGACTTCGTTTTCCGTTATTGGTCAATTAATCTAGCTATAGGCTCGCTTATTTAAGCAGGATTGGACTCAAATGAATTTTCAAAAAAATGGCGGTAGAAGCAGTCAATTGTAAAAACAGACTACGAGTGTGATCTTCTGCTGTAGTTGCTAGAGACATATTACATATATAGAATGTGCCTACACGACCTATTTTCTTGAATCAGCAGGACTAGATCTTCTAACAAGGAGTTGTATAAAACTAGGACATTTTTGATCAGCAGGAAGACTACACAGCTTTTTGCGCTAAAGATTTGACTGGGATTATACTGCAAAGAAAAACTTGATGGAAATTGCGGAGGCTGTACTTAGGGGGCAGGCAGGCCGGGACGTTCAGGAAAAGCTTCGCCATACATTGGCTCAGGCGGAAGCTAGGCAGGTCGTGCGACATGCCGGTGGCGCAAGCGTGGCCGCGAATGCGCAACAGTTGATGGATGCTTAAGGCAGCTGCCATTGATTACAGGCCCACTTTCCTTTTTGATACCTTGAACTTCATGCCCTGCTGGTCAACGAAGGAGCTTTACTATATAAATATAAATACCTATAACCGAAGCTCAAGACGTCCTGTAGTTGTAGGTAGTGACGTTGTGAAAGTTGCAGCCAAACTACAACAATGAATCCCTTCAAAACGACAGAAATAGGCTCTTTTTTTCTCCTGGTACTACAACTCGCTCTAATATTCGTTACTGAATATCGAAGCCCGAGATGATGCGAAGACTGCCAAGGCTGAGGCGGTGAAAATTCTACAGCTTTTGATCCGTTGTCAGAAAATCTCAGGAACAATTGAATCTGGAGGGGAACAAGTCCGTTGCGAGGACGGAAACGGCAGTGGTACGACGTTGAGGGACTTAGAGTTATGACTTCTTGCAGGAATTTTTTACAGGCATCCAGGCAGTCAAGAAATGTCAAGAAGAGTTGTAAAAATGTCAGAAAGGGTCGTATAGGCGTACACTCTTCAAAAACGTGGAGTGAGGTGCCCGTTTAGTCCCTTTCCAACATTGAGTGGCTAAGTATTTGCATATCCTATTATTTAAAGTTCATTAACTGGCTATTTGTATCAAATCATGTGCTATTAATCAATTTATTAAAGTTGTTATAGGGAAAGGAAAGCAGGGCAAGAATGAACAACTTACTACAATTCCATCCGTTCTGTGCTCATAGAGAGGCTGCAGTAGATCGTCATCACGATCCGCAACCTCTAACAAGGAAGGAAGTATCGGAGAAGCTGCGTAAGTTCAATGAAAAGGAAGAAAAGGTGGAGGCAGGGACACGCAAGTTGGATGAAGAAGATAAGGAAATGAAGCGCAAGGTGGAGGAGATTCTTTATGCGTCCTACTTCTTACTTTGACCCACTTTATCCTCCCTGCATAGGTTCGTCTTACTCTTACTTACACTTACCTACAGGCGCCTCGTCTTGCATGGCACTTGTTGTTGCAGCGCGCTTACTGGGGTATGCTCCATGGGGGTATGTTCCATGATTTAACATACCAGCCAAAATGTTTTCTCGTGCTGCGTGTTGTAACTTCTAAATCTTCGCCGGGACTGATTTGGGCGGCGCGCAGAAGGCACAAAAAACAGTCGATGACGTACTGGCAGCTACACATTAAGGCTCACTTATTTTTCTCCCATAAGAACCCTCACTAGAGTTGCCTCGTTCTGTTTCCGACGCGAAGGAGAAAGCAAGAGTAGGAAAGTCATAGATTGTCCTCAAGGTTTTTCCGCTAGCGTTGGCCTGACCCTGATGTGATCGAGGAAGTAGTGGAAGACTGAGGGTAGACTTGAGTAAAGTAAACTAGAAAGTAAACCAAGGTCTTATACTATGTATCTATAAGTTTGCTTCTTTTCTAGTAGAAGCATCTTATCGATCAACATGTTGTGTCTCACCTTCAGGAAATAATACTCCACCAACAAGAACTTCTATTTCTAAGGAAGGATTCAAGGAAAATACACTACGATCATGAAGGAAGTATTCGAGAAGCGCGATTTAGGCACAACGTCTGAAAAGGAAAAGGCTGATTTTCTGGAGACAGTAAAAGCTGTGAAGGCGATGGACGCTTTGGACCGTGCTACTCAGAATGCAGCTGCCAACGATGGCAACGCTGCTCCTAACCCTAAAACTGGTGCTCTTGTTATCTCGTTAGCAGAAGGAGTCGCTGCACATCTCGTAGGAGCCGGCGCATTTTCTGGTGACCGCGACGTCCTCGCAAAGGCTGCGGGGCAACAATTACAGCAGTTAGCCGAAAGTGGAGTTTTTTATGTCTTGTGCTCTTGTGAGTGACGCGAAGCTCAGTACTAGTCAGCCATTCTTTCAGTAGGTAAAGAGGTATTCAAGATTGTAGTTTGTCGGTAGGAGAATGAATGTCGTGAC